AGGAAGCCGACGGGAAGAAGAAATGGAGGAACTCACGGCAACTACCAAATTCAAGAACCCATAACAAAATTAGAGTAACCCAAGCCAAATTAAGGGAGAAAAGATGGATTCCATGGTTGTTGCTTACCCAAAAACCGAGAAATTCACACCTACACCAAGTTGAAATCGACGGCAGGGGAGGAGGAAGGCAGCTAGATCTGGGATTTTTCTTGCTTCAGGGGGCTTCTAGGTCCTAATTCTTGTTCTTGGACAAGAAAGCAAGGGAAAAATTTAAGCTTTTGCCAATTTTCCTGAAGAGAGGGCGGTCAGCAGCTTGGGGGGGTTGTCGGGTTGCAGGGGGGTCGGGAGGAAGAAGATAAGCAGAACACGTGGCTGGGTGAGGAAGGAAAAAGAAAGAAAGAGGAAATTTATTTTTTGCCTACCTTATCCAAATTCTCTTTTAAGTCCCTAAACTTTTAAAATTTCTATTATTAAGGCCAAAAATATTATTTCCTCACAATTAAGCCCCTAACTTAAATGACAAAATTCCCGAAAATTTGGGATATTACATATGGTAAAGTGAGAGCCCTTGCAAGCTTTTAATATATTTATTAAAAAAAAGTTAAATAATTTTAATATACACAAAATGAGGAAGAGGGAGTGTGAGAGGAAGAGAGAGAAAGACAAATTGAGATAAAAATAATATATAATAATAAATATAGATGCAATGAGTAAATAAGAAACAAAAACACTGAGGGAATAAGGACAAGGAGGGAAAGATTAATAACTAAAAAATCATTAATGGAAAATGATAAATATACTTAGTTTAACATACTTTCTAACACTCATCTTAATTCAGTTATTAATATATAATATAAGTACAACTAATTTAGTTGCTTCTTGTATCATAATGTATGCATGGCTACATTTTTAAGTTTATTTTCTTTTAATTCTATATCAAAAAATAATAATTTTTAAATGAGTGTGTTGTACTTTGTGTTAAACTGAAGTGTATACTAATTAGTCTCCATTATTAATATATAGAGAGAAACATAAGGATGAATGTAGATTAGATAAATGTTGATAAAAAAATGTAGAATAGATAAATAAATACAATAATAGAGTATGAGAGACTAAGTTAAGAAAAGGAGACCCAAGAAAATTTGATAAAAGTTGAAATATATGTTAGTAAAAAAGTTCCAAGAAGAAAAATATGATGAAAAAAAAAGATATATTTTATAGATAAAGATTTAAAAGAAAAACTAAGAAAGAATAATAGAAATGAGAAAATAATGGGAGAAAGAATAATAATGAATAAATTACTAATATAAAGAGGAAAATTAGGTAACGCTTATAATGTGGATATGTATATAAATTTATTGTATGTATTACTAAATTATTTGTGATTTTAAAATATTTTTACGTTATTGTAGGACTGAAAAAATAGAAAACATCTACTAATAGATAGAGGAAAATTGAATAAAATATATATATACATATATATATATATAAAGATAGATCACGATACAAGGAATGACTAAAGAAGAATAATATAAGGGGGAGGAGGATAATTAAATGTTTTGACTTAAAAACTTCTAATATGGACATTTAGAAGAGATGAGACAAATTGAGGTAAAAAAGAAATATGTAATAGTAATGGTTATAGAGGCAAAGATAAAGAAACTAATGAACATTTGATTAACTAAGTATTTTAGCATGTTTATTTCAAAAAATTTTGATTGACATAAAAGTGAAATATATGTTTATAATATTAATATAATGAATTAATATATGTTTGAAATGACTTTTATATTTTTTAATTAAAAATTAATTTTAATTATGAATCAATATTATTATATTTAATAATTACTAAAAAGATAAAATATAAACCAGCCGCATCATGCTTCATATATAAAGTAAAAAAATAATTACTACAAAAATAACCTTAAGTAGGAAAAAAATGAAAATTTCATACAAATGGAAAAAGATATAAAGTAAAATATATGTATAAAGTAGACAAAAGTTTTTTAAAAAATACACTAATTACTATTGCTCAACTTAAAATTTTTACTCATGAAAATGTCCTCAAAGATCAAAATATTTGTAAAATTATTACAAAGTCAAATTCATTTTTAAAGAGATAAAGGAACACAAAGGAGATAGAAGAGGATAGAGTTCCTTATTACTCTTTAGATTATGTTCAACGAAAACTTTGGAGGCTGTTCAAATATCAAACACGAAACGTAGAAAATAGTAATGGGAAAAAATACCATACTCTTCTTAGTATGGAATGTAGAGGTGAACGTTTAAACCGACACCATCGAATTTTCTTATGTTGGCTTTTGTTTCTTGCAGGAATCAATAGGAGTGCTGATTTTTTTTTATTATTACTATGTATGTTTCTTGCTGTATAATATAACTACATATTAAATGAAGGTTGGTTCCATTTGGTTTGCAAAAAATGAGTTCATATTGGAAAATATTTTTCAAGAAAAATTTTTAAAGATTATTTTTCTATTGTTTGGAATATTTTAGAAATGATTTCGAAAAAAACATTTTTTATTATTTGGTAGGTAATAGAAAATTTTCAAAATATTGAAAAGATAAAATAGTTGAAATTAAAATATTAGAAAAATAATCAATTTCACATATTTACTATTTTCAAATTTACTATCATACTATTTAAATAAAAATTCAATTTTTTGTAGACAATAATTAATTTATTAAAGTGAGATATGTTTACAATTTCCAAATGTTTTCTCAATAGTACTCAAACCCGTGTACAATTTCTAAATGTTTTCACAATACATGGTCAACCCCGAGGTAGACTCATCTCACTAGAAGCAACAAAATACAAAATGCTCATGTCATAAGATTATTCCCTTAACTGATATACGACATCACATTTTAACAGGCATGAACTGTAATGTGGAATGTGCAACCACCAAGTATTCAACTAGAAAGTTGAGAATTTAAACATGTCCCCTTTCTACCAAACACAGACTCAAGCAAATCAACAAACCACGCCAACTTCAGTAATTCTAAATGAAAGTTACCATTTGTGCCAGTGTTATTCTCTTACCACAATCAGATTAGATGGTTTACAAATCCATTCTGACCTTCGTTCAATCCAAAGTACCAAGTTTTGTCTCTACTTAACCATCCGCCCTCTTGTTGGACATTACATATTGCACTAGGACCCCTCTCTACACTAGAAGCAATCCCTCAATTATACTCTCCACGCTTCCTTCACTTTCCCATTCATTTTCAATCCCTCCATATATATCCAATCATATAAAGCTTTTAAAAACATATAACGAAACCATACTTACAATCGATTAAGAGCAATTTTTTGAAGCTATTAGTTTTGGCATTTCATCAAACACTTTTAGGACATTATACTGGTATCCAAAAAACAAAAGTCTAGTCAAATCAAAAACTTAAAAATGGTAAAACTACTCTTTTTTTTTTTTCATCTTTTCAAATAGAATTACTATCCTCCTTTCGGATTTCATAAAACTCATGATTTAACCAAGAAATCTGGCTCCAAAGTGATCGAGAACATACAAACCAAAAAGCCCATATAACAATAAGTAGCAATCAAACTTTTAAATCAAATGATGAATATGAAATCTCGTGCAGACACATATATAGATTCAAGTCTATGAACCCATGGGCATGTAGGGTAGCAGAGGAAAGAGAGGTTTATGGCTTGCTAACAAAGTAAGTGCGCTGGCCAGAGAAGAAGGGAATTATAGGGCGTTTTGCAGCTCAAATAGATGGAGTTACATTTGTAATCTAGTCCATGAACCACAAACAAAAGGCACCTAGCCAGAGAAAGGAAGGGAGTGGGTTTGAATTCCTAGAGAAGATGGTGTATGAGGACCTTAGCCTGCGTGCTTGAAGACCCCTAAAGATCCGCCTATTTTTAAGTTTGGAAAACTACTTCCCAAAATTGAATCCACAAGTTATTCTCTGGAAATTACTTCATGATTTCCGTTTACTAAAACATATTTTCCATTGACTTATTTTCTAAGTCACTATCAAATACTGAAAAATACAAAAAAGTATTTTTTTGTAAAAAATTTTCCACAAAACCAAACGAACCCTTTATTAACAATACAAAAGAGAAGCATCTAACCCAATTTTTTTATAAATTATAAAAAAGCATGAACATGTTCTAGTGCGTATATATTGTTGGATTGCAAAGGAGACAACCCTACCCACTTCATTTGCATATTATATGACTCAAATTCAAAATTTATTAATTTTACTACAAGAAATTTACCCTTAAACTATTTGACTTAAATAACAATTGTATGTAAATATTTGATTTTATGTATATATGTGATATGAAAAAGTGTTGTACACAGAGGCGGAGGCAGAAATTTTTTTCAGGGGGGCAAAAAACTAAAATTTTCAAAGTTCAGGGGAGGCTAAATAATTTTCATATACTAATTTGCAAGATTTTCAAATTTCAGGAGGGGGCGAGCGCCCCTCTCGCACCCCCCTGGCCCCCTCGCACCCCCTGGTTCCGCCACTAGTTGTACAATAAACTTGTATATGTTCAATGTTCTAGATCTAATTTTTTCTGTCTTTTTTTCTTCTCCCTTTTAGATTTCAAATCCAAGTACATTGAAGCTCCTTTAATGTATATTTTGGCTTATAAAAATTTTGGAATAAATGGCAATTTTAATCCTTAACTTTAGAATTTTGCAAAGTTTCATCCCTCAACTTTTTTAATACACTTTTTGGATCTCTCAACTTTAAAAACACTTTTCCCATATATATTTATATGAGAAAAGTGTATATCAATCCTGACTTCCAAAAATAATTGAAATCATAATCTTAAACTACGTTGTTTTATTTAATTAAAATTTAATTTAAAATTTAAAAAATGATCTTATTAAATATTTATATTTAAATTTAGAAACTAAATATAATACAATATATAATGGGTTTCCAAATCTAAATATCAATATTTAATAGAATGAGATTCTAGTTTCTAAATGTACGTTGTGACTCCAATTGTTTTTGCGAGTCAAGATTGATATGCACTAATTTCTATATATATATAAAGAGAGAGAGGAAAGATCCATTTACATATAAGTTTTACACACCATGTTTACACAAAATTTGATAATTTATCTTTCCACTTTTAATAGCTAAGATTTATCAAGATATTTCAGATGAAAAAAAATTATCTTTAATAAATGTGAATAAATCTTAATCATTAAAAGTAGAAAGATAAATAATTAAGAGTGTGGTCTCTTTTGTGTAAGTGAATCCCTACTTATATAAAGGAAAGATCCATTTACACACAAGTTTTACACACTACACTTATATAAAATATTAATCATTTATTTCTCTACTTTTAATAGTTGAAATTTATTAAGATATTTTAGATGAAAAAATAATTATTTTTAATAAATTTGAATGTCTCAACAATTAAAAGTGAAAAGATGAATAATTGGGTTTTTGTATAAGTGTGATATATAAAAATCACGTGTAAGTGAATCCTTACATATGTAAGTGGATCTCAACCATTAAATGTGAATAATTATATATATAGTAGAAACTTGAAAGACAACATTTTAAGGAGTATGTCTTGGACTACCAATACTTTTTTCCTCTATTGATTTTTTAAGCCAATTCTAAATTTCATAATTCACTCTTGTTGACCTATGATTTGGATGATTACAAAAACACATTTGAGTGACTAATTTGTTCATTTAAGTGTGTAGTTAAACTCCTAAAAGATTGCAAAAGTAAGTGAACTTGGACTACACTAAAAATGGACCAAAAAGCCTGAAAATAGTTTAGAGAGTCGGCTCCAGGAATTTGCAACCGACTATAGTGAACAAAAGTGTAGAGAAACAACTTTAAACACTACAATTGGCTTTACGGGTGAAAGCTTTTGAACTTGCAGTTTGACACACGCAAAAAATGAACGCAAAACCATCTATAACTTTGCAGCTAACTATGATGGCGCATTTAATGCTCAATGATCAAGTTCTTTGAAGAATTTTTTAATGTTTTAAAGTCAGATTTCCTAACCCGTCTTTATGTTTTGCAACTAACTCTTCAAAAAAACAAAATGTGCAGAAGAAGCAGGAAAACCAACTTCAAACATGGAAATCGGCTCTACAAAGCCAGCTCTAGAGCTAGAGCTAGCTCTACTGACAAATCTACTGCAACTTTTCTCGCAATTAAACTGAACTACAGAGCATTTATTAAACCAAAACAATTAAAAACAGTTATTTTCGACCAAGGGGGTATAAATATGGTTGGTAGAAAATCTTAAATAAGTTTTGATCATTGTATTGAATATCTTTACCTACCAACTTGTGCTTTAACTTGAGTTTTTTATCTTTGAGTGATCTTTGCTTGTAATCCTCTTCTTGTTTTATTTGTGAGTTATCTTGCGAGTGCGATTATTCCTTCAAGAGTGATCTGTAGAGAGGATTCTTGGGGTTTATCTTGTAAAGATTTGAGATTTGAGAGAAAAACTCATTTTCTTGTAAAAGGATTGAGTAGCTCCTTTAAGCCACCATTGTTTTTCTTAGTGGAGAGTGTGGAGGAAATCCTTGGTGAGTAAAGCCAAGGTAGAGGACTAGACTCCAAGTGATTGGACCGAACCTCTATAAAATCATTGTGCAAGCTCTTCTTCCCTACTCTCTTTAATTTTTTACTTTGTAGTTGCAAAAAGGAGGAAATTTTTTATCTCCAATTCACCCCCCTCTTGGAATGCATTGAGCCAACAATTGGTATGAAAGAAAGGGCTCCAATTTGAAGGTTTAACCACCTAGGAGTTGATTGAGGATGGCTCAATTTCAAGCTACTTCACCACTTGAAGGTTTGTCTACCACCAAGCCTCCTTTCTTTGATGGTGCTAATTATAATTATTGGAAGAATAGGATGAAGATCTACATGCTTGCTAATGAACCCAAGGTATGGCTTGTGACTATGAATGGTCCATATGTGCCTATGAAAGTTGTTGGAGAAAGTGAGGTGCCAAAGGAAGAAATTGAATGGAGTGATGAAGACTTGGAGAAGATCATGATCAACAACAAGGCAATCAACATGCTTCATTGTGCTCTCAATCTAATGGAAATCAATAGAACATCTGAGTGTGATATGGCTAAGGAGATTTAGGGCATGTTGGAGACAACACGTAAAGGAACAAGTCAAGTAAAGAAGTCAAAAAGCAATAGACTCATTCACATGTATGAGCTCTTTAAGATGAAGTCAGAAGAAAGCATTCAAGATATGTACACAAGATTCAATGATATAGTCACCAATCTCAAAACTCTTGGAAAAGTATATCCTACTCAAGAATTGGTGAGGAAGATTCTTAGAAGCTTGCCTAAGAGTTGGGAAGCCAAGAAGACCACAATTGAAAAGGCTAAAAATCTCAACAGTCTCAAGCTTGATGCTCTTATTGGATCCTTGATGACATAAGAGATTGATGCTCAAAATGATGTTGAAGTTGAGGTGATTGAGAAGAAGAAGAATGTTGCATTCAAGGCTAGCAACCAAAAGGAAGAGAGTGAAGATGAAGATGATGCTAATGATGGTGAAGACATTTCTGCCTTGATCTCTAAAGAAGTTAAAAGATTGATGAAGAAGAAGAACTTCAAGAATAGACTTGCAAAAGGAGATGAAGCAAAGTCTAGCAAAAAGAATGTGAAGTGCTATGAATGCAACAAGATAGGGCACTATAGAAATGAATGCCTTCAATTGAAGAAGGGTGAAAGGAAAGATAAGAAGAGCATGAAGAAGAAAGATTTTGCCACCACTTCGAGTGATGATGAGACTAGCTCAACGGAAAGTGAAAGCTCCTTGGAAAATGGTGTTGCAAATCTTTACTTCATGGCTCAAGAGGATAGCAACAATGATGAAGAGGCAAACTCTAACTTCTCTAGTTTAATTAATGAAAGTTCCTTTGAGTATTCTTATGATGAATTATGCAAAGTTCTTGATTGCTCTATGAATGATATCAAGAAACTAGGGAATGGGAATCTTGCTCTTACTAAAACCATTTCATTACTTAAAAATGAGATTGAATCTCTTTCAAAACAAAATGAGGTTTTAGTTAAAGAAAATGCCTCCTTAAATGTTGAGATTGCATCTTTGAAGAATGAGGAATCTAATAATGCTTTGAAAAAGGAAAATGAGGATTTAAAGAGGAAAGTTTGTGATCTTGAAAAAGTGATTCTAAATTCACTTTAAGCAAAGAAAAATTTGATTCTTGTTTGAATTCTCAAAGAAGTATTTATAATAAAAGGGCATTGGATTTGATTACTTTAAAGAGCAAAGAACCTTTAAGAACTTTTTTATAAGAAGAAGTCAATCCTCTTATCCTAAAGTTACTTGCTATTGTTGTGCAAAATGACACTTTGCCTATGCACGTCCTTTAAAGAGATTAATAGCTCAAGGTAAAATGAAGTAAATTTTGGTTCCAAAAGGAACTATAAGAACTAAGTCCCAAGGACCCAAGCAAATTTGGGTACCTAAGATCAAAAAGTGATTTTTGTTGTGTAGGTGTGCCTTGTGAGCAAAATGAAAAACAAATGGTATCTAGATAATGGATGCTCAAGGCACATGACGAGTGACCCTTTACAATTCTCATCACTCATGTCCTTGGATGGTGGAACCGTGACCTTTGGTGACAATGGGAAAGGAATTGTGAAAGGAATTGGTAAAATTGGTAACAAATCTATTTCTTTTGATGATGTTTGGTATGTGGATGGATTGAAACATAAGTTGCTTAGTATTAGTCAATTATGTGATTGTATGCTTAGTGTTGTGTTTTCTAAATCTTATTGCAAGATAATTGATTCTAGAAATGAAAAAGTGTTGTTTGCTAGCAAGAGGCTTAAAAATGTATATGTGATTGATTTGCATGACATAGATGCCAATATTTATCTTGCTTCTATATCTCATGATGATACTTGGTTGTGGCATAGAAGATTAGGACATGCTAGTATGAATGTTATCTCTAAGTTATCAAGGCATGATCTTGTGGATGGCTTGCTTAAGGTGAACGTGAATATCGATGGTGTGTGTGATGCATGCATGAAGGGTAAGCAAACTAGAGTTTCCTTTAAGGCTAAGAAGTGCATATCTGCAAACAAACCTCTTGAGTTACTTCATATGGATTTGTTTGGACCTATGCGCATTCTAAGCGTTGGAGGGAAATCATATGTGCTTGTTGTGGTTGATGCCTATTCTAGATTTACATAGGTTGCTTTTCTTACATGTAAGAAAGATGCACTTGACACTTTCAAAAGTCTTTATAAAAAGCTTCAAAATGAGAACCGTTTACCTATGGTTTCGATTAGAAGTGATCAAGGGGGAGAATTTGAAAACAATGATTTTGAAGATTTTTGCATTGAATATAGTATCGATCAATACTTTTCGATTCCTAGAACTCATCAACAAAATGGGGTGGTTAAATAAAAAAATCTTACCATTGAGGAAATGGCAAGGACTATGCTTTGTGAGAATGATTAGCCAAAATCCTTTTGGGTCGAAGCCATTGCAATATCTTGTTATTTGTTGAATAAAGTTATGGTAAGGCCTATTCTTAACAAAACCCCCTATGAGATTTACAAAGGAAGAAAACCCAATATTTCCTACTTTAGACCTTTTGGTTGCAAATGCTTTGTTTTGAACGATGGAAATCATTCTCTTGGAAAATTTGATTCTAAAAGTGATGAAGGCATCTTTCTTGGATACTCCACTTCTAGCAAAGTTTATTGTGTGCATAATAAACATACTGAAGTTGTTGAGGAATCCATTTATATAGTATTTGATGAGACTAACCCCATTTTTCTCTAGAAAGTGTTGTGATGATGATGATGTAAATGCTATTGGAGCACAAATGAAAAAGGTAAAATCTCAAGGAGAACAACACCAAGGAAGCTCAAAATGATAAAATTGTGGAAGACAAAATGAAGAAGTGTAACAAACACTTGAGCCAAGAGAACCAACTTTCCCTAAACAAAGATCCTATGTCAAAGATAACGAAATCATTGGGGATCCGTCAAAAAGGCTGTGCAAGGTGAATTTGAGATGAGCATGATGGGTGAGTTTAACTTCTTCTTGGACTTCAAATCAAATAATCCAAAAAGGACATCTTCATCAACCAAAGCAAATACACAAAGGAAATGCTTAAAAAGTTTGGCATGGAGCTTAGTAAGCCAACAGCCACTCCTAAGAGCACTTCAATTAATCTTGACAAGGATGAAGGACGTAGGCCTATTGATCCCAAGCTTTATAGAAGCATGATTGGTTCCTTACTTTATTTAACCGCAAGTAGACCGAAGATAATGTTTAGTGTTTGCTTGTGTGCTAGATTTCACACTTGTCCTAAAGAGTCACACTTAGTTGCAATTAAAAGAGTCTTAAGGTACCTAAGGGATACTCCCAACCTTGGTTTATGGCATCCCAAGGGTTCTTCCTTATACCTACATTCATATTCGGATGTGGACTATACGGGTTGTAGGATTGATAAAAAAAGGTACAAGTAGAACTTGTCAATTTTTTGGTATGCTCATATCATGGTCTTCTAAAAAGCAAAATAGTGTTGCTGTATCCATAACCAAGGCTGATGCACCAAATACGCACTACTTTTAGGCAAGTGAACCTAATCGATTATGCAATATAAGATGAGTAAGATATCGTTCCCTCGAGGACTATCCTACACTACCAAGACCCCTATTAATCTAACCTAAGTTGAATTAACCAATTAATGGGGAAAACTAAACTATTTAAAAGAAAACTAAGTCAACTAAGGAAAATTAAACTAAAGAATTTTCTAAGTTAAAGAAACTATGAATGAGAAAGAACTAGGGTTTGGATTTCATTTAATTCTGAATTATGCAACTGTTTCATTAATTTAATTCAAGTTCAAATAATAGTGTTATCGCATGAGATGACGGATTTCCCTAAATTAATTAACCAGCTTTCTCAAGTCAAGCTAATCCTTCATTTGTTTGCTAAATCAATCATATCTCTATGAAATTTTAAACAAACTAATGAGCATTAAATTCTATGGAAACCTCTAGCTTAAGAAGGGGGAGCTACTAACTCTCTTCTCTTCCTCCACTACCATATGTGAGCTAATTACCTCTCGGTCTCATAGTCTAGCACACGGTTTATATTATTATTGGTCTAATCTACGCAATTCTTTCTCAAGTTCATGCATAAATCACTAAATCAATTGAAAGGTGATCAAGCTCTCAATGCATTAAATTCAATAATATAAACTCGTCATGCAAATAACCAATAAATCTTGAATTAAATTAACAAAAACAGTCACATACTTCAAAAATTAAAATCATTCCATCCCTAGTTCAAAGAAACCTAGCCACACATGTTTATGTTCTCAACAGCCATGAAAAATAAATCCCGGCAGAAAATCATAGTAAAAAATCAGAAACAACAAAACCCCAAACAATGGAGAATTGCAGTTTGCCGAATGGTGCGCTGTTGTCTGGAAGCAAGGCTGGTGGAGAAGAAGCAAGACTGGGTGGTGTCGAACAGAGGCTGGGCGGTGTTGAATAGATTTCAGGGTCCTCTTGTGCAGATTGGATTCGGGTCCCTCCGATTAGGCTGGGCGGCGGCTTTTCCTCCAATGTGCAGAGCAATCCCGTGCGGCTGTCCTCTTCTGCTGCTAGTGAACAACAGAGGCGGGTGCTGGGATTTTTGGCGGCTGGGTGCTCTTGACCTTGCGCAGAACAACTTCCTCCCCTTTCCCGTCTGTGTGGCTCTATATAAATCTCCCAGAAATTAGAAACCCCTTAACCCTAGCAGACATGGGAATTGGGCTTTGGTTTGGGCCTGAATTGCAGTTGGCCCACTCTTACAAAAAACATAGCCCGTCTCTTTATTTCTGCACTGTCTATAGTCAAAACCGTCACTTTCAACTTAAATTCTATATTGATACAGAAGGAATTGGGTTGAGCTCATAAAACATCAATTGTAGCTCTGCTTCTTAGCTTTCCAACGCCTGAAGAATCAACTCAATCCGATACCTAGAGAAAAAGATATGGTTAAATTACTGCAGTATGTGAAAATTGTCACTTATTGCAAAATTAATTCCTATCTTAATTTCCACCTACAAATAATGAATTTAATATAAACAAAGGTGAAACTAAGTTACAAAAGACCCATAAAATTTAATTCTAGGCTCAAAAAGGGTAGATAAATGCATATAAAAATTAAACTCATCAGAGGCCAAATACATAACCACTGCAACTTGTTGCGCTCAAGTGTCGTGGATGAAACAATAACTTTTGGATTTTGGCATTACCATGAATCATATTCCCATTAAATGTGGCAATACTAATGCTATCAATCTCACTAAAAATCCCATCCAGCATTCTCACACAAAGCAAATAGAAATCAGGCACCATTTTATTAGAGATCATGTTGCTAATAGTGATGATGATTTAGTGTTTGTTGATATTAGAAATTAATTAGCTGATATATTTACAAAGCCTCTTGATCATGATAAATTTTTCTTTATTAGAAATGAACTCGATATGTTTGATCCTAATGATTGATATGGTTTTTGAATTTGATGTGCAAATTAATGAGCTTGATTTCTATATTTTGATTGATTGTTGGTGCACACATGGATATATGTCTAAGATTGCATAATCTAGTAGTTGATGTCTACCTTAAAACTTGGTTAAATGAAGAAATATCAAATTAGTTGCATTTTCCTCAAAACAGTGCCAAAACTTTTGTTTTTATCAATTAAGGCCAAAACAACCAGCTATAGCTTTCCATAGCTAGCTCTACTTAAAAAATAGAATGTTCAGGTTCCCCAAGTTAAGCCGACTCTCAGGCAAAAGCTAGCTCTTCATCACTTTGGTTGTCAAAGGCCAACCCAAACCCATAGCAGAGTCAACTTTGCTACTAAAGTTGACTCTACTGAACAAATTTTTATTCTCTCTATTTGCATTCCAGAACCAAACTAGTTTAGTTTCTCCTCCAAAAAATCACACCCATTCCTCTCTCAAACACCCAAATCTCACCAAATCTACCACACCCACCATCCGCACACTCAAATACTTCAAAATCCTTGCATACCCAACAACAATCTTCAAGTTTTTGCCACAATTTTGTGTGGAATATGTTGTTCTCTCTCTCGCTTCAAGAAACGGTGGAAGCAAAAGGAAATAAGTTGGAAATTCAAGTGCGGGGAGACAAGCTCAAAAAGAAGGTGATTTGATTATGATCTATTTTGGGATAAGGAGGCCTATGATAAATACAATTTATTGAAGAATTTGCTTATTCTACCTTGTAATAATGTGAAATTCAGTCGATTCACTCAAGGTGATATGCATGTAGAGGAGATATTTAGAGAAATTGGGTGGATTAATTTTCTAGAAATTAAGGAACTTGTGTACAATGATGTAGTTTATTAGTTATATGCAAATTTGAAAGCTAAAAAGGAGAAGTGCAAAACCATGGTTTATGGGATACCCATTCAGTTTTCACCTAGGGAAATTTGTAATGTATTAGAAATACCTAAAGGATGAGATGATGAATTTGAAGATGTGAATACATTATAGGTCAAATTAATGTGGGCCTTCTTACAACAAAAATAGAGCATTACAATGGATTATTAGTCATATTATTGCTCAAAGGAAAGGCTCTAAATCTGTTGCACTTGTCAATGATCTCTGGTGGTTTGATTATTTTCTCAAGAGGAAAAGGCTGAAATCTTGGAAAATTCATTTTTTAGAACATAATAAAGAATTTCTCAACTGATATGGGACTTCCTCATGGTGCTTTGATTACTAGATTGGTGAAGAGGAACAATATTGATCTTACACCTTATAAGATTGGGAAGATAAAGCTAGAACTACACTCAACAAGGCTTCTTTTGAAAATATGCATTATGAGCTCAAGAATGGCATTTGGATAAAGAAAGGGGATCAACTAATGAAACAACAAGGGATGAAGATGAAGAAGATGCAGACCAAAGCATGGAAGAGCAAGAGGAAGAAGGACATAGAGGTGAAAATTGAAGGCCTTTCAAGTCACAATGCAAAGAACTCATTGGGAAACCTTAAAGCTTATGGTTAATGAGATAAGGCAATTGTACATTGATTTTTATGATTTTCAGAATAAGCTGGAAGAACGTATGGATTCCATGGATAGAAAACTTGATTAGATTGTTAACCATTTCTTTCCTCCACCCCCACCTAGTGCCATCTAACTTGATATTTCTCTTTTGGCTAATCTTTAGGCTGGATATCTTAGGCATGTGCATTTCAATCTTTTAGGATGAACTTTATTCTACTATCTTGTGTTTGTTTATAAAGTAAACTGCTACAATATTCTTCATTATCTTTGCATGTTTCTTTAACTTATTATCATGAGCTGTGAATTTCAATGGTATATGACTTTGTGATTGCCTACGATTTTGATGATTATATTGTTAAGTGCTTTCGTTGAGGGGGAGCAATTTGTGGATATCTTGCTTAAATTACATATTTTTGATAATTTAAAGGTCCATATGCATGAATTAAAGTGGAGTTTATTTGGTTATGTTCATATACTTTTTGATGGATGACAAGAAGGGGGAGAAAGGATGATGAAATTTCTTATTAATATTGGACTATTTATGTGTTGAAATTTCTTGTTAATATTGGACTATATATGTGTTTTCATCAATTTATTCTCAAAGTGTTTTATCATCATAAAAAAGGGAGAGATTTTTGTACCAATGATTTTGATGATTACAAAACACATTTGGGTGACTAATTTGTTCATTTAAGTGTGTAGTTAAACTCCTAAAAGATTGCAAAAGTAAGTGAACTTAGACTGCACTAAAAATGGACCAAAAACCTTGAAAATGGACCTAAAAGCTTGAAAATAATGTAGAGAGCCAACTCCAGCTCTAGGAATTTGCAATCGGCTCTAGTGAACAAAACTATAGAGAATCGACCTTAAACATTGCAACCATCTTTACTAGTGAAAGCTTTTGAACCTGCAATTTGGCGCACATGGAAAACAGATGCAAAGTTGGCTATAACTTTGCAGCCAGCTGTGATGGCACATTTAATGCTCAATGGTTAAGTTCTTTAAAGAATTTTTTAATGTTTCGAAGTCAAATTTCCTAAGCCGGCTTTACGTTTTGCAGCCGACTCTTCAGAAAAACAAATTGTGTAAGAGTAGTAGGAAAGCTGGCCCTAAACATGAAAACTAGCTTTGTAAAGTCAGCTCTAAAGGTAAAGCTAGCTCTACTGACAAATCTGCAACAACTTTTCTCGCACTTAAATTGAAATGCAGAGCATTTATTAAACCCTAATGGTTAGAAATGGCTATTTTCAACCAAAAGGGTATAAATAAGGTTGGTAGAAGATCTGAAACAAGTTTTTGAGCATTGCATTGAATATCTTCACCTACTAACTTGTACTTTAACTTGAGTTTTTTTATCTTTGAGTGATCTTTGCTTGTAATCATCTTCTTGTTTTATTTGTGAGCTATCTTGGGGGTATGATTATTCCTTTAGGAGTGATCTGTAGAGAGGATTCTTGGGGTTTATCTTGTAAAGGGGTGAGATTTGAGAGAAAAACTCATCTTCTTGTAAAAGAATTGAGTGACTCCTTTAAGCCATCATTGTTCTTTTGAGTGGAAAGTGTGGAGGAAATCCTTGGTGAGTGAAGCTAAGGTAGAGAACTAAACTCCAAGTGGTTAGACTAAACCTCTATAAAATCATTGTGCAAACTCTTGTTCCTTGCTCTCTTTAATTTTTTACTTTATGGTTGGAAAGAGAAGGAAATTTTTTATCTCCAATTCACCTTCCTTCTTAGAGTGCATTGAGCAAACAACTCCAGATGATTAAAAAAAAGAAAAAGGTTAACTCCCCAATTTGGTCCCTAAACTATTGTACGGACCCCCAATTTGGTCCCTCAACTAAAAAAATCTCTGATTTGGTCCCTAAACTATTGTATGGACCCTCAATTTGGTCTTACTATTTACCAATTTACCCCAAGTTGGTCCTTTTGTACAAACACTAACTGACGTGTCTTATTATTAATATGACACGTGGCTATTACGTTACTATTTTTCGTCATTAAGTTACTGTTTCTTGCCATTAAGTAACAGACATGTCAGTTTTTTTTTTTTATAGAATGACCAACTTGGGGTAAATTGGTAAACAATAGGAACCAATTTGAGGGTCCGTAAAATAGTTTAGGGATTAAATCAAAAATTTTTTAGTTCAGGAATCTGTATAATAGTTCAAGGACCAAATTAAAGGTTTAACCATAAAATAAAATAAAATAAAATAAAAAAGGCGGGCGAAGAAAACTATGGCTTATTATTTTCTATTACAAATAAATGTGGTAGAGGAAAAAGCTACATATTCAAACTTTTCATTGAAGCTTAGTTATTTGCCGAGACCATACAGTTCAATATGAGTTTTGAACTCGGGCCAGTGAACTCCTCGTCTCAAGTCAGCGAACTAAAAAATAACAAAAGAGATGCAATGGTTAAAGCAATTAAAACAGTCAAACAATCAATAGGCGCTTATAAAGTGAACATGAAATCTAGCAGTGAAATTTAATCTCACACTTGACTAGCAGAATTCGTCATGTCATCTTCATCATGACTAACAGAAGCTCTCTGGCACTCTTCATCGTCGGAAACAATGTCCTCAACAGTCAAGCTACAAGAGAAAATAAGGCTTGGTTTCCTCTTTGGCACTAATACTGACTCAGCCTCATTGTTGAGTATCTGAAGAAACCTCCTCATTGAAGGCCTCTCTGCGCTATCAGGGTCTGCACAGCTTAAACCCACCAGCAGTAGCTTCCTCACCTCTTCCTCTTCGAACTCCCCACTCAATCTTTTATCTGCCGCCTCCAAGATCCTTCCATCAGTATGCAATCCCCAAACCCAATCAACCAAATTCTCTAGTTTTTGACTATGAGGTTCCTTCTCAATTGGCCTCCTACCACAAGCTACTTCCAGCACAACAACAGCGTAGCTAAAAACATCAGTTTTCTCGGTTGCCTTCCCACAATGAAGATATTCGGGAGCAAGGCACCCCATGGTTCCTGCAGTAAGTGTGGAAACAGGACTCCTATGATCCATGAGCCTTGCCAATCCAAAATCACCAAGCCTTGCATTGAAGTTTCCATCAAGCATTATGTTGCTAGTCTTTATGTCTCTGTGAATGACTTGCTGCTCACATCCTTGATGCAGGTAACACAGCACAGAGGCCAGACCAACTGCAATATTCTTCCTATGGCACCAACAGGTCCAACACAATGACATGCCATGTCCAGATTCTGGATACAGCATTTTATCAAGGCTTCGATTTGACATAAATTCATAAACAAGCAGTAATTCACCCCTCTCAACACACCAACCCTGTAGCTGAACCAAATTCTTGTGCCTTAAGCGAGCTATAATGGACAATTCAGCAAGAAACTCAGTCTTACCTTCATGGGAATGCCTTGATCTTTTCACCGCCGCAATTGTACCAGAAGACATAAAGATGGCCTTATAAACATTCCCAAATGCACCGTGGCCTATGATTCTGCTTGAATGAAACCCTCTCGTAGCTGACATAAGCTCTTTGTCACTAAACTGTCGGGGCCCCGCTACGAACTCTGCTTTGGGGTTTTTCTCTGTTCTCGTACCCTTCCATTTTCTCAGAGAAATATAGCGGAACACTGAAAGAACTACACAAAAGAACGCCGGACCAAAAATTCCCAGACCCAAACCAAGCTTCTTGTGATGCTTATTACCAGAACTGAATCTATGGATATCTGTTATTGTCGTCACTGAACTATCAGATACATTGTGAGGATGCCGAACTGGAGATAACCCAGAACCATGAAAGCTCCAATTCTCAATCAAGTGAATCTCAGTGCTGCCTTCTGTTGAAGCTGAAAAACACACAAACATCATCTCTCTGAGATACCCAGAAAGGTCGATATCCACAGTTAACAGTGGATTTTGGGGTTTTGAATCCGAAGAACTCAAGAACACTCCCAAGAGCTTCAATTCATTCATGTAATCAATCCAAGCGGTGAGACGTTTTCCACTCAATCCCTTGTGAGCTTGGATCCGCAGTTTTGATGGAATTTAGACTGTCAATATCCAAACCAACATGATTATCATTTGGGTCGCCAAAATGGGCATCCAACCTGGTGTCGAACTCAACTGCGACAAACATGTTCTTGGTCGACTGCGAAGAATTAACCAGGCCCAGATACCCTCCTGGCCTACCCAGAGTCTGATTATCCGGAGAAAGGAAAAACGCCAACCCATCACCAAAAGAACTCGGACTCAAGTACTTGATCGAGAAAGAGAATCTCGTGTGGAAAGAAGCAGAGGTATTGGATTCTTCATTCTTGATCGAAAAACGGGATTGGTTGGTCGTAAATCACGGTGCCGGAGCTTGAACAGGGAACATCGAGCTCTTGGGTGAGGCCGACGACGCCGTTCCGGAGATGGGAGTCACCGAGGAGGGTGAGGTTGCGGAGAGTGAAGGACTGGAAATCGAAATTCACATTCTCCGAAGAAGCAAGAAAAGATCTGGGTTTGAAGAGAAGGGTGATGAGGAACGAGAAAATAAGAAGCTTTCTTGACGCCATAAATCAAATAGGTGTTTGAGAGAAACTTGGATTGTGGAAAACAGAGGTTGAAGATGGAGTGGAAACAGAAGGAAAATGGGGTTTAAACGGTTGGAAAATGGGCGCGTGGGGATTTAGAAGAAAAAGGGGAAACGATGGGGATTTAACGTTTATCTTGGGAAATATGATTGGGATAGACGATGTCGTTTTAATGGGGATTTGGGGGACCCGGTCAAAATAAGGTGGGCCAGTCGAGCCGCAAATGGATCAGAGATTCCAGCGAGGTGGGATTTTTGTACGGTTAATATAATTCCATATGATTTTCAAAATGAGATGACAGTTTAAGTTCAGTTTGGTTTTGGTGAGGTTACTACATTATTCCTACAGCCAAAACTAATATCTATTAATTGCATGATTGATAGTATAGTTTTAATTTTCTTTCAAATTTATACCCTAATACAGTTTGAAAAAATTGTTATGTATTTGAAACTACAAAATGACATATTTACATAATTTAATCTTATAATTATTGATTAATTATAACTTTTTTTATTTAAAGTTATATAATGAAATGTTACCAATTTTTTTATTATTTAATTTATCTTATTTATATATTATATTACTTGAATTTAAACTCCTATTTTATTTAGATGAGATGTTATCATTGGTTTTAAAAATAATTGACATCAATATATAACTTTCTAAATTTTTAAAAATGAACCTTTTAATATACTTTTTGATTGAAATACATGATGATATAATATTATAAAAGTGGATGATGGTGAATCTATCATTTTATTTCTATTGTTATTATGGGAACAGAAGTGCTTTGAACAGTCAATGAAATTTAAAATAGATTTGGAATCTAAACGGAAACTTTAGAGAAAGTGCAGTGTAGCTTTGAAAAAGAACAATGCTGTAAGAATTTGGAGAAATCAATAATGACAAGCACGTGGTCAATAATATGATTATGCATCACACTTCATAGAGCCGTTGCAGAAATGGAGAAAGAAATATCGCATGATCGTTCTTTTCCTTTTTTTTTTTTTTGTGTATTTTAATTTGAATGCAAGTTATGACATGGATTTATCATTATCATGTCTTATCTTCCCTACTCATAAAATTTAAATATGGAATCTAAAACTTTAAATTCGTTGTTAGAGAAGAATACTAGAATTTCATTGAGTCTACCCAACCATATGAATTTAGACATTTTACATCTGAATCAGACAAATGAAATGGGATTTGAAAACGGACCAAAAAAAAAAATGTTAGAAGTTGCTGGCAAGTAGAATCAATCATAAACTCAAAACAGGTTTAAGCAGCAAGAGGAATGGAGAAAAAGCACTCACCGTTCATTGGCAATGGAATTTCTTGACTCGAAATAGTTTGCAAACAGTTTGAATTACTGTTGGTACAATAAGGATATATATATATACATCATCACTATAGTTCTTTAATATTCAGCTACATAGTGTCAAAAAGAATCACCTACTTTGCCAGAGAGCTCTTAGCTATCTGCACATAAAAGAACAAGAATCAACTGCATTTTCTTTGATTACTAAAAAAGACTATGTCCTGTCTTAAGATCATGACATGAGAAGAACATGGCACAGAAAAGGGGGAAAGATACTGGCAGCAAAACTGTCAATTCAAGGAAAGAAAAGACGAAATAAAGATCGAAGTGAAGTTACCTTCTTAATCATACAGAAGCTCTCACGTGGGCTGGCTGAAGATTGCAATGAGGGATCTAAAACTGTGCCATTCAGTTTTAATTCACAGGCCCTCTTCTTAACTGATGCTTTCTAGGCAAGAGAACTACCAAAAAATGCGTAGATATGCACCTTAGTTCAACAAGGGATAACGTCCGCAGTTAATGTTATATGATCTGGGTGATGATTACCTTCATCCATGCTGCAAAAGCTGTCTGGGGGGAAGACCACTTCTGCGTCTACATTTTTCTGGGATGCTACGATTGAAGCGAGATAACTTTTACTACAAGAAAAAAGGCCAATAACCAGCATCATATAATCTAGATTTTTTGTACCAGAAAAATAATAATCTAGATTTTGGAACTAATGACTACTAAAATGTTAGCTCACAAGGGGGTTTAAGGCTTCTTACACGTGTTTTTGAACACTAGTTTGGTTTAAGACAACAGTCTAGTTACATACCTGGCCCACGAAGGGATAAACTTTCTGTTTGGGACATCTTCTTCATCTTCATCATCTGAACCTTTGTATGGAGAAATATCATATGACTCTTCTTGTATTGTATTGGCAATTAGGTTATTGTTTCCTTTTCCTTTCTCTACTTCCCTAATTACCTGCAAAGAGTTCCCGAGTCTCATGATGCTACAATGAAGAATAGGTAACAAATAAAATAACCAAAAGAAACCTTTGAGAGGATTCATCACAAAAAATGGGAACTTTGAAAAGAAGCTCATGTTAAGATCTATGCCAAGCCATCTTGAGAAATATTAGAGAAAATCACTCCACTAAAAGATTTTTCAAAAAATATCCAGAAAAAGAATCTAGCTATCTTTTACCTTAGAATTATAATCATCGAGAACTGAGCTTATCTTTCCAGAATCATTCATTGACACCTCAGTTGTCCTGTATTTGATCGCTGATTTTTTTCCAATACATTCTTCTCTTGCTTCCTTTTCCATTTTATCATTCTTCACAGTCTGACCATTAGGTATCTTCATCTCATTTACTCTCTCATCCTAGACAAGACATCAGTAGTAGATACCTAGAGCTACTTGTGCAAAAAAAAAAAAAAAAAAAAGAAAGGAACTTTGTTTAGAGTTTAAGATATCTTACCTGTTCTTGGAACTTTTCTTTTTCATCCTTCTTCACACGTAACTTCTCAGCTTCACGCCGCAGCTTTCTTGTTTCCTCAATGCGTTTCCTTTTTCTCTCTTTCTCCAACTTTTCTTCTTCTTCCCTCTGTCTTTTCCTTGCAGCCATCTCGGCTTCTTTTTTCTTTCGTTCTTCTTCTTTCTTTTTCCTCTGAAGATCCAATTGCCTCAAATTTTCTTGCTCCAGTCTTGCTCGCTCAAGTTTTAAGGCTTCCTTCTTCATCTTTCTTTCATTCTCTTTCTTCTCTGCAAGACGCTTCACTGCTTCAGCAGCCTCCAGGGCCTTCACTTTAACATCCCTCTTCCCTAGAAGTAAAAGATTAGAATCAAAATTAAGCTCCAAAGAAAACATGTTCAAACAAAAAACAAATTTTACCATCAAGCAAATAGTTCCCTACTTCTCACAAACAGAATGTGGATGTAAGAAATGCTTAGCAACTGGAGTTTATAATGTAGCTTGTGAACTTTAAGCATCTGGTATATTCTATCCATCAAAGGATTCCATAAAAGCCTGAGACAAACTCCTGAAATTTGTCTTTGCTGTCCTCCCTTGCCCCTTGACCCCCACCCTCAAATATATAAAATGGGGAAATGACAAAGAGATTACCTTTAACAATGGCGGCTGCCTGTTTTTGCTGAAGAACGGTTACGAAGGAAGATGTATTAATAACTATATTGTTAATCTTGGACTCCTTCTCTAAGAAACTAGGACCACCTTTTCTCAGACTCTCTTTTCCAGATAGTTTCAACTTATTGAATCTGTTGCAAACTGATTCACTTGCCCTCTTGGTACCATTTTCCCCTCCCAGCATACTATGATTCTCATTCAACGTATTGGTATCTCTTCTCTTACTTGTCTTACCGATTGCAGCCTTCTGCTTGACACTGTTCTTAGTGCAATTGACACTGTAATCATTGCTCGCAGATTCCAGACTGTTTCTAGAACTAAATAACTCAGCTTCAGAAATTAGCAGAGCCACATTTGGATCTTCTTTAATCTCGGCAAGTGGCTTTCTCTTTACAGGGCAAGTCACAGCTTCAGAACCATTCCCTTCTTCAAATGCACCAGCCACTTCATCTATATTTTCATTTTCTTCAGTAATGCAGGGAAGATCTGGAATTGTGCTTCCTCTCTTCCCTGAATTGCCAGAGTATGATGTGATTCTATCCCACAGCTTGCCTACTGGAGATGTGTAAGGCTGCTTGCTATCCCAGATTTGCTGAGATCTAGAAATAGGGAACGACTTCCCATGTAAGGCATGGCTGACTTCCTCTCCAAAGGAACTCAGGCTAACCTTAGGCTGGCTGGTATCAGAATTGATAGGAAGGATGTTCCCCACGCCCATGCACTCCAGAAGTCCATTTGGAACAGACTGATGCACACTTGGTGATTTCTGCATTTTACATGCGGTTGGAAAAGGTGAAAATGGGGTTCGGAAGCAAGCAGACCTGCAAAGTTGCTCCAAAAGGCTGACATGTTCTACTGAAGTTTTTGGAGGCTCTAATTTGTCAATGCTAATTCCTTCTCCAGCATTCAATGTTTGTTCATTATCTGTTTGCATGATGAACCCCTCAAATTTAGGCTTGGTCTGATCAGCACTAAGCAACTCTATATGTTGTCTATGTTGAAAATCAATAGAATAATTTGGAAATGTATCAGTTTCTCTCAGATGAGACAAACTTTCTAGCAGGCTTCCTTCATCACAAATCAAGTGTTCTGTGTCTTTTTGCCCAAGTTTGTCTTCAGCTTCTAATAAAATTTGATTCTCTTGTATTTCAAGTTGCATGCTTGAACCAGAGGTAATGCTGCTTCGATCTGCCACCCCTGTTTCCTCCAAGCAATAAGCTTGAGAATCTGCAGGAGCCTCCTTGCATGAACATAAAACTGAAAGCAATCCTTCGTCAACAAAACCTAAGTGAGTTTCTGTCATGGTTTCCTTCTCTTCCAAGCTAAATTCACCCTGTCAACACAACAACAATAAGATGAAAGCTGGAACATATCACAGAAAACAGCTGATCTAAGATAGAATTTCCCAAAGAATTGAGGGTAAAAGAGTGAAACAAGTACCTTATCGACTTGCAACTTAGAGGAAGAGATAGATCCACGCACTGCATTCTGATCTTTATCATTTGATTCCATACCTAGATCCTGAGACATCCAAAAGCACTGAGATTTGAGGCCAAAGGGGTTTTCCCACGTAATTTAATTTTCAATTAAATGAAAGCCCAGTAAATTCTCTGAAGTGGCTTTACCTTCAAGCTTAATGAAGCAGACAGTGGGCTTGTCAGTTGGCTCTCAATCTTTCTCCGCTTATGGAATGATGAACCCTCCATGTGGGAGCTAGAACTTCTCCCTGGCTGGATGGATTTCTTTGGAGTCTGATTTCCAGTTGAATTTGATTCTACAGGAACCATAGATATATCGTTTTCATCACCTCCACATCTCCCCATTGAGTAGGAGTCTGCATGCTGAATATGACAGGTACCTGATTTTATTTTCTGTTTTTCACTACTATCACCCTTAGTTTCATAAATTGAAATACAGCAAAGACGTCCATTTACAGAAGCTGTAGGAGTTTCATCTGCATTCTTTAATAGAGCAGGACCACTAACTCCTGCAAAATTAGCATCCACTGATATTTCATGATCACCAAAGATATTTGTATCGAAATCATCTGTTCCTGGAACTAACTCTGCTGGTTTTTCTACATCAAGCTGCCCTGAGACCCTTTGCTGGGGAGAATCTATCTCTCCATTAGCATCTAAGTTGGATAACTTAGATCCTAATGCATCCTTTAGTAGGTTCCCAGGAAAATTTTCATAAGCAACTTGATTGGTGGGTGAATTATATATCAGAGAAAAATTCTGTTCGGAGATTTTATTGCTTTCTTGCCAAGCACCAGTGTCCCTGTCTATATAAACCCCAGAGCTATCTTTCATTGAGGACACAACTTTAGAATTTGAAGTCCTGCCTGATCTACACGTCTCCTCCTTTTCAGCTTCAAATACACGTTTCAATTTTCCTTCTTTGGTAAGACCCTCTCCTTTGATCAGCAACTGCACATGATGAGGAAAGTAGGAATTTTGCCGGTCATCAAAGAAGGTTACTTCAACTGATCTATCTGCAGAACACAGCAGCATACATGACTTCCTCTCTGATGATTTGATTTCTTCTTCCTCCTTCCATGAAAAACTAGAATCTTGATTCAACCTGCGTTCTTCCATATCATCAAAATCAAGTTGCTTGGGCTTCACAATCATAGGAGATGCAGACTGTGGACTTGACACTGTAACTTCCAATCCATCTACTTCAAACCCATTGGATGATTTAACCAGTGAAAGATTGTTGGCACTGCTTGACTTGGATGATGAATTACCAGAATGAGCTTCATCTAGCTCACCATAATCTACATCAGTGTCAGCAACAATTGCATAACATTTATCTGAGTCAATGCTGTCAATGCCAACAGTACAGGGCAAAGGATTTACTTTAGGACATGAAACAATCTGACGGGCAACCTCTTGAGACCTGTTTAACGACTTTGCAAGGGGAGACTTGTTGGGAGCAACAGGTCTCCACTCTGTGACTTCATTATCTACAGAAGTTAAGGAGTTGAAAGATCTAGCACAATGGTTTCCTGAAATTGCATTTATACCATTAGATTTATTCACAATATTCTCCTGCATCTGGCAGTCCACCATTTTTGCTTTTATCCTACAGCTTTCATCAGCATTATCAAAAGACTTGACCATCTTCATTATCTCATTAATACAGTCTGGTTGCTGCTTTGATTTGTGAATACCATCTTCCTCATTCTTGTCATAGCACCTGCCCAATTTTTGGAATTCCTTCACACATTCATGCTGCTGGCTAGAACTTTTAGATCTTGTTAATCTTCTCCGATCAGCATTGCTTGCCTTTTCATTGCTCTCATTATTTCCTGCTTTTGCATTCCTCATTCCACAACTGTCATCAGAGATGGCAGAAGATTTTCCCAGTCTCAAGAATCCATCAACAGCCTCTTGTTTTGATTTGGCTAACAACTCTGTAGGTGTATCACCATCATTCTTTGCAATATAAGAGTTGCCTGCACTTGAAGGACCATTTACAGACTTTGGTAATTGGGCAGAACTTCTAGATCTTGTAATTCTACCTGAGTAAACATTTTCACACCTCTCACTGCTTTGGCATGGATCAATGTTTTCCTTATCAACTGCACAATTTCTGATGTCTCTATCAACAGCTTTGTCCAACACCACCTCATCCATCCCAAACTGCAAATATGTAATCTTGGACCCCGTGACTTGACTATTGCAAGCATCAACACTCTTCTTAGAAATTGAACTGCTTTTAGCTGCTTTTGCACTATTGCGAAGCTCTAGCGCCCTTTGCCTTGACTTTGATCTCTGGATTCTTGCCAGTGATAGTGCTGGGTCAGGATTAATGGCCGAGATTGTTGCACCTAAGCAATCTTTAGGAGAAGTAACAGAAGGTTCCAGCTCAGATTCATCATTGGGAACACATCCAACGTTATCAGATGGGCACTGAGACAAAACTTCTGTATCAAAATCTTCATTCAAAACATCAACTCCTATTTGTAAACCATCTGAAAACTGCAGATTTTCTGCCATAACAGCTGGTTGTTGATACAGAGAACAGTGAGTACTAGAGCAGGGAATTGCAGATTGTTGCTGTGGAAGTAGGAGTCCAGATATAAGATCTTCCTTGCTCAACTCTGCAAAGACAAAAAGATGTCAGTGAGAGCATGAAATTAATGGGCCAAAAAAAAGCAGGAAGTTCCATCTGAGATTTAAAATCTCACCATCACTGTCATCCTAATAATCAATCCTGTGAGGTTAAGATAAGGGGGGAAAAATGATACCAACTAATAAGAACCTTCAACAGTTATGAGGGCGTATTTTCCTTGCCTATCCTAAAACAAGCATCGTTGCTTTGCTTCTAATATGCAAAATTTAACATACTAAAAGCCCTAAACGTTATCATTGCATTTACGAATTCCTTCCCAAATCCCACCAAATACTCTCTTGAGCATTACTAAAAACATACTATACAATTCA